CCCCAAAACCCCAAAACCCCAAAACCCCTATCCAAAGTCGAAAATATAAATTTAATTAATCAGCAATCAACATGAAATATATTAACTATTTGTCTTTTTAATTTTCATCAATCCAACATGAAGAACCAATCTTAAATGTTTCGCTTGTTCAAATATCTTGAGTCCAGACTCTGAATCTTCGCGCTTGCATATGAGTCGAAGCTAACTCCCATCACCGTCTTGAAGTTCAAGTTTGCAGGAGACTTGCCAGTTTTCTTGAAGTTGTCAAGCTTAGCAATGTAGTCTCTGGTTATCTGAGCAATGTTGAACAGTACCGGTATTTGCTCTGGATATTGATTCTGCATGTAAGCTGGGAGTTGGGCCAGGTGATGCATGTAGTGACGCTATGTGTCATGCTTTGTGTTACCTTGAGTTGGTCAAACCTGTATGTTGCATATGTGCCTATGCCAAGCATTCAGACAAAAATATCAGTAGAACAAACTTACAGTGAGTGATGAGGCATTTGAAAGGTCTGTCACTAAACTCTGTTGACCAGTGCTGTCTGATATGCATCGACAAGCTGTAAGGAGACTTGAAGAACTTGAAGCACATCGGACACAAGCCTTCTTGGTTTTTAAACATAGCTCAGTTAGCATATTCTTGTGGAAGTGCTTTGTTGCCTCTGAACTTGACTGCTGTATCTTTGGAGTGAATAGCAATGTGGCCTTTCATGGCGTCTTCATCCTGAGTTTCAAACACTGTTTGGTCAACACAGACAGGCTCTGTGTGACACAGCTTTCACTGGAGAGTGGACCTACAAATCTCACTTTGTACATACTTTGAGTCATCAAGACTGGGCACAACTTTGTAGAAATCTTTAATGAAGTTTTTGGCGACTTCTGGAGACTTATACTCTGACTCACTTGCAGAGTACACGCTTGAGGGAGGATCAATCAAAGAGCTCTTGTTCTCTTCTGGATTTTGATTGTTGTGTTCATGTTGGGCATCTTGATGGTAATCTTCAGAGTCGTACTCTGAATTTGACTCAATGAAACTTTTTCTATAAGAGTTTTACAATGAGAAACTTTGTTTGAACTCTTACATCCCTCACAAGAAGCCCCATAGATCAAGAACCCGACTTGTAATAATCTCTTACTTCTCATAAAATTTGCTTCCTCTCTTAAAAATAACATCTTCCTCCAAAATCTGTTCTATTACACTATCTCCACCCACCAGTCACCTAATCCCAACTCCCCTCCAACCTCTACTCATCCCCCAACCCCCTCCCCACCCAATATCTCCCCCCTTCCAGCCCCAATCTTTTCCTCTAAAATCCCAGTCTAATCCCCCTAAATTTCCCAATCTCTTCTATTTCAAGTTAATTTTCTGTTGTGGGGTTTTGGGGTTTTGGGGTTTTGGGGTTTTGGGG